TTGTCAGTGATACTTATATTATACTAGAAAGGAAAGCTTTTTAAAATATAATGAAATGCAAAAAATATGCTAATTGTTTTTCCAACTTACGATTTTGCAATTTTATAACTCTCTGGATGTATAATAGTGGTATCCAAGGGCTCCGAACTACCCAGCACTGTCAAGAATCCAGCGCATTGCTGGAATGTTATCTTCCCAATGCCAGTAACCTTTAGGATCTCTGCTCTTGATTCAAAACCATTATGCTCTTGGCGATACTCGATGATTTTTTTAGCTCTTCCTTCGTTCAAGCCTGATATACGCCTGGAAATAAGCAATGAAAATTTAAATGTTTTAGTACTTTAGAAAGATTAAAAACAATTAAATTGATTAAAAACATCGATTTACTCGCGGGAAATAATTGAGAAAAACTCGACTAGTTTCAAGTCACAAGGGGACTCTTATTTTTTTTGTTCTCATTTTAAAACATTGCTCCACTCTAGGATTTTCTCCTGTGTCGTGGGTGCGTTTACAAACATACAATATCACATACACATGACACCCAGACCCGGAACAACAATCTGTGGATCACACAAAGAGTTGTTCCGTGCGGGAATCGAACCCACGACACGTTGCGCGGCAGCCAGTTGCCCAGCCACCGCGCCAACCGTGCAGTCAATTTATGAGCAGACTGCTATTTATATTTGTTATTTTCAATATTTTTTTAACATATCTCACGATAGTTACTATACAAAGGTTACAGAACAGTGTCGTACCTAAGCATGGCTTGCGATGCAGTATTGATGTCAACTCCAACTAAACTGACAACTTTCTCGACAGCACTGTCTAAGGCCGTCTCCAGCATTTTTGGAGGAATGTCATGTTGATACATTCCGACGCCTAAGTTTTTGGGGTCTACCTTAAAATATAATTCATATAATTAGGGCAGTTATAGACAATTTACATAAATGTATTATTTTTTAAATATTTTATTTTTATAAATAATGTATTTTTTTTTAATAGATAGAGTGATTCTTAAGGAAGGTTTGTATGTATATACATATTGCACCCGTGCAAAGCCGGGGCGGGTCGCTAGTTATTAATAAATTTAACATGATACCACTTACTTTTATAAGTTCTCCTAAAGGGTCTAATACTCTTCTGGCGATTGACAGAGCTGATATTAAATTTGGATCCATGTTTGGGTGTTCCTGCAATTACAAATATTACGATTTTTTTAAACCGATGCCCCCACATTGCATTTTCCCCTGGATCGTGGGCGCATTTACAAACATACAAGTTTATATACACATGGCACCCCGACCCGAAACAACAATTTGTAGATCACACAGAGTTACTTTCATGTGGGAATCGAACACACTACAAGTTGCACGATAGTCGATTGCTCAGCTAGCAGGCCAAACGTGCGATAAAATGGATGCAATCCATATATTTAAAATAAAACAAAATTGATACAAGTCTGCATTATCATACCTTCTGAGCTTCCTTGCTAACAGAGTAAATAGAGGCGCCTTGTTCGGGAACAATAATAATAGGAACTTTATCGCATATATTATTACTTTTCAGCCATAATTCCGTTTCACGACAGGCTGTGCCATTTCCTAAACCAATCAACTCTACACTGCAAAACAATAATACAATAAAATCATTATAAGAATAACCAGAAGAACTCAGATGAGTAAATAAAATTAAGTGTGAGAGAGCCATGCTTTGGCAAGAATGGGCCGACTCGACGTGAGTGATACTACGGCCTCACAGAAAACCGATGTTAAACAACGCTTGCTTTGTTTCACGTCGTGTGAGTGAGGTTATCGGAAGCCCAATTGCTCTCTCCTAGATCTCCCGAATCCCCCACAATCCTCGAATTCCTAATCCCCAAAAGGCTGGTAACGCACTTGTAACGTCTCTGGTGTTTTGATTGTCCATGGGCAGCGCCGATTGTTTACCACCAGGTGATACCTTTGCTCGTTTATCGGCTTATTCCATAAAAAATATACATAAGGAGCTAAACTTACCCATACTGACTTATCATGTCTTTTATCTGTTTGGCCGCGGGATCAAACGCTTTTTGCTGCCTCAAATCTGGATATATGGTACACGCGTCCAATTTTTCTCCATTTGTATTTATTACACCAACCTGGAATAAATGGAATTATTATTATATCTAACCTAAGCATCTTAGTACTGTAAAGACGTTGAGGTTTTTCAATAGCCTTTATCTGGGAATTGCCTTGAGAGTTGAAACAATGAACATATTATTTATTATTAAGTAATTATATTAAGGTAAATATTACCTTACAACCCGCTCTGAAACCAGGATCCAAGCCCATAATGATTCTATTCTTAATAGGTTCAGTTAGGAGATACTTCTCCAGATTAGTGGTAAATGTTTTGACTGCTTCCTTCTGCGCCGTAGCAGTCAGGTCGGACCGCACGTGTCTCGACAGCCACGGCTTTATCAAACGGTTGTATGCATCGCCAAGGCCTTTCCGCACCCAAAAATTACTTTTCCATTGTGTAAGACAAAATCTGAAAATTGAATGATGACATTTGAAAGTCCTAATTTGTCGTAAAAAATATGAGGTCAAAGTTTCTAAAAATATGTTCTTTGGGTTTATTAGCAAAACAGGATATTTTTAATGACCTACAAAAGTGTTGCCTTATACATTTTTTCCTTCAGATTCACCGTTTCGGAGGAAATCTTTTCTATAGAAAATATTTTTTTATAACA